TCGAAAGATCATAATATGGGCATGTTGTTTAGAAATGTACAGGTGAAGGCCGGGAAAGGCAGCCAAGAAACTTGAGGGAGGTTGTCTGTCTGCTGGCCGGGGAGAGAAGCCAGCAGGGGTCATGACCAACCAGCCTTGCAGAACGCCTGGGCTTGTCAACACAGGCAGCTGTCAGCGTGAAGGCAAAATACAAGCCACTGTATCCGCCCCTTCCAAGGAAGCTCTGGGTTTGAGGGCTAACCTCCACCTTCGTTGTCCTCGGTCTCTCCCCCTTCGGTGTGGACAGGCCGGACAGTGCATCTGCCTCCTTCACCACCTTGAAGCCACTCCTCTATAATAATTTTTTTTAATTAAAAAAATCTGATAATACAAGAACCTGATAGAAAAACTCCTTGAACAAATTCATTTCATTTTCCCACACACACTTTGAAGGCCCTGGCATGTGGCTGTTAGTCAGACAGATGGTCTCATTAGAGACCCTCAGAAGAAAGGCCTGGCAGTCCACGGGGCCCAATACCAGCCCGTGAGAACTCTCTGGAGCCCCGCTCTGCTGTTGACACAGATGGGGTCACCAGGAATTGGAATCGACTGGGCAGCAACAGCGGTTAGTTTTTTTTGGTTAGTTTTTTTAAAGACGTAGGCAAGGATGGGAACTGCAGGTGTCTCGGTGCCAATAAAACAAACAGGCCAACTAGATAGATTTTAAAGGCGCTCTGGTGGTACAGTGAGTCAGTACCAAGCTGCTAACCCCTAGGTCAGTGGTTCAAACGCACCAGCTGCTCTGAAGGAGACAGATGAGGCAGTCTGACCCTGTGGAGATGTGTAGCCTCAGAAACTCTAAGGAGCGGGTGTCCTTGCCCCGTGGGGTCACTATGCGGCAGAATCAACTGGATGACAGGAGATTGTGTAAGTCTGAAGTACCCATCCTCATCTCCTCAGGCCTCCCTGCTCCCAGGAGCTGGGTGCCATTTCTGCAGATCTGGAAACTGTATTTTATTAACCCATGGTAGGCCTGGCCCTGGAAGACTGACTGTCCATCCCTAGGAACATTGGAGGGAGGGGGAGAGATAACAAGGAGGGGCTGGCCCCCACCAGACACAGAGCTGTATAATTATCGTCCACCGCAGAAGCGCCATCCACAGAGGGGCTATTAGACGCACACTGTATGACATTGTCATGTCTGGTTTTCACAACAGCTGCAGTGGCTGCCTTTGTGTCTCTGTCTGTAGGGGGGGAAGCCCAGAGGTAGAGAGGACAGAGGTGCATAACTTGCTCGAGGTCATGGCAACAGTAAGTAGCAGAGCTGGCTTCTTCCCAGTCACAGCCATGCCCTGGGCAACTTCACGCTCCCTGTTCGGTGTCAGACAGGGGCGGGCAGACAAAGAGCATCTTAATGCCTGACACTCATCAGTGACTATGTGCCAGGAGCTCTGAAGTGCTGGGTGGGTGCCGGCTCACAGCAACCTTAGGGAGTAAGTAGGTACCTGTTATTATGCCATTTTCCAGATGAGGAAACTGAGGCAGAGCTCAGACGCTCTGACTCCAGCCTCCCGGGACTTGGTCACTGCGCAGCAGCCTCTCCCTCCCCCAGTGAAAGGGGAGAACAAACAAGCATGGAAGTTCACAGGGGATCGGGGGGCGCCACCAGTGAGTGAGGAGAGGTGAAGGTTTGAACTGCATTGCCCACTCTCTGCCCATTTGAAAATGTAAATTCAGCTCGCGTTCAACCTCATCCAGTGGTCCCTGGTACACTCAAGGGGAAGTTCATTTAGAGTCTGACTTTTGTATATGGATGCTAAAAAGGGAAGCGGACAACACGCTACACGAAAAGGTGGGTCCATCTGCTCTCATTTTGAGCTGACATGTTGAACCTTCAGGAGGCCTGGCCTGGGCCCTGCTTACAGCCCCCTTAGCGCTCCCACGGGCTCTCATTGCTCCGTGACACTGGGCTGCCCAAGCCATCATGTCTCCAGGAGCAGGCGCCACCTGGGACACCAGCTGGCCTTCGACCAGGTGAGCTGAGGGAGGTAAGAAAGGACCCCTTGATAATGATGGTTTCAAGGCCAACTGAAACCTGTCCCAGGAAATGTGCTCCGTGGACGCCCATTGGCCAGACTCAGAACCTTTGGCTTTGGGCAGCACTGACAAAGCCGGCACTGGGGGCACGTGAGAGACTTCATGGAAAACTTGAATGAAAAATAATGGGATCTTTGTGTCAAGGTTTT